GGTGCCAGAGGGTTTAGGGTTTAGGGTTTAGGGTTTAGGGTTGAGGGTTTAGCGCTGGTTAAGGCTTACTTGTTTCCTTCAAGGGGTCCCTAAACCCTAAACCCTAAACCTTAAACCTTAAACCCTAAGCCCTAAACCCCTCAACCCTGCCAGGGCTATGAGGCTTCAGTTTGGGGCTTAAGGGTTCAAGTGAAATGGCCGGAATGCACCCTTGACCTCCCTATGCAGAATTGTTCAGGGAATGCACTGGCACAAGGCAGCAAAGCCCTACACTGCAAGCCCTGTACCATAACTCCAAGGGTCCTAGTTCCCAGATGGTGGCTTTCAGGTCTCAAAAACCACTCAGAGGATGTATTTGGGGATCTAAAGCCTTGCTATTTGCATACTTGCGCCCTTAGGGTAAGCCAAAAAAGCCCCAACACCTTCGACAACCCAAAGCCTAAGAACCCAGGCCTAAACCTTCCTAGACCTTGCAATGTGCCTTGGTTAAGGAATATACATTGGGTTATAGTAGGATCCTCAATATGAGTTAAGGTATATGTCCTAATACAAGGACATTGGAAGGTGTGGGTTAGACAAGCCCTAAACCCTAAACCCGTAGACATTTCTTTTGGAAGCCCAGGAAACCTTGGAACGTAAGGCACCAGTGGGCGGTGTGCGGCATTTTTACCATGAACTTGGTTCCCAGCTCCTAAACCCTAAACCTGAAAGCGCACGAGACATCTAGGAAACTTCTGGATTGGGGTTGAGTGGTCTTGAGTCTCAGTGTCAACCTGGAATTGTTTCGAGCTTAGGTGCAGGTTTGGCGTTCAGGGTTACGGAGGGTTGTGAGTTCTGCGTTTGCTCTAGGACGAGGCTTGCGGTTACGGCGTGCTTTACATGACTTGTGAGCGGCACGTGAAGACCAAAGCCTGGCATTGTACTTCTGCAACCCGGGGCAGGGAAGTCCTTCGTGGACTTAGGTACTGTGCGTTTAGCAGTAAGTCGTGCATGCGTCCGGCACATGTATACACATACGCAGACAGTCCGCAGACATACCTATGCATGTAGATAGTTGGCCTGATTCCTATAGCCCTGGTTGTAGATACAAAGTCCTTAAATTCAGAGTTCTACTGAATGTTAGGAGGTAACTAGCCGTTCGATTCGGTCCGTTTTGATTTCGCGATGGGACATGAGACAGTGCTGCCTCCGAGATCCCAAACTTCCTAGGGTTTAGGATCGAGGGCTACCAAAACCCTACAAAACAGTAGGTTATGACTCCTTAGTTATAGGAGATGATCCTCAGAACAGCAGGTTTTGGGATCGTCAGGTGATACAGGGTTCTAAATCTAAATAAGTACCTATACTATTTTGGGGGTTCCTTGTCGTTCTTACAATAATGCTATAAAGGAGCCCAAAACCGTATTCCGACTATTGAGGCCCCTACATTGGACTTTACACTCCCGCTTCCTGGACGCCTGCAGGATTCTCGAGACTCAAGCAGTCGATGGCTACTTCCATGGCCACTTGCTCGCCTAAAGCCCGAAGCCCTGAACCCCAAAGCTCTCAGCCCTAAAGCGTCTTGGACAGTATGTGTAGTGACCTTGTTTTGTGTGGTGATGACTTGTTGCTCTTGCGATTGCTATTACGGTGGTGTATGTTATGCGCGTGGTGTTTGATGTTGTGCCGGTTATGCCGATTCTGTGGTACTACTGCTGCTGTCGTATGCCGCCCTGAGTCTTGTTACTGCTTCTGCGATTGCTATGACGATGGTGTGTGTAACGTGCCTGCGGCCACGTCCTCCTCCTGCTGTCGTGTCGTTCGTTAGGCGTTCGTCTTTTTTTGTGGTTGACTTTAAGATTGCAGCCTGAGGCTGCCCGTGAAACAGAACGTCATTAAGCCCCCCCCCCACTCCCACACCCCACACCTCCCCCCCAAAGAGCAAGCAGAGCATCTCACGGAAACGGCACAGACAGAAAAGCGCAGAAAGGGCAAAGCACGGGATAGCAAGAAACATAGTTTCAGGGAGTCAGGAATATAACACGCAGGCCACGTTTTTGGAGCTTCGGACGAAGTCGTAACCAAAAATGCACGACCAAAACTGACGGCAGTTTTGGTGCAAAAACAAAGAAAGAAAGCGGAAATGAGACAAAACCCTCGGGTACGAAGAGCGCAACATACGCAAGAAGGCGAAAACTTCGCGCAGGACGGCGTTGTCCAAGTGAAGGAAAGGCAGTACTGAATTAGAGAGGCATGCAAAGGCCCATAAACGACAGCAAAATCCACCCCCGAAAGTGAACCCGCTAGGCTAACCCCTAAACCCCAAAACCCTCAACCTTAAACCCCAAACCCTAAACCCCAAAGCCCAAAGCCCTCAACCCTAAGCCAAAGCCCAGGCCTTCATGGCCTTAGGTCGAGGGTGCCAGCTGATACTCCAGAATAACATGGAAGCTTTGGGGTTTAGGGTTCAGGGAATTAGGGTTTAGGGTTTAGGGTTTAGGGTTTAGGGAATATGGAAGCTTTTATGCTGTTCCCTTTGGTAGAGCCCAAGCTGCAAGCACAGCGCACGAAAAGCCCCGAGGCTCTAACCCTAAACCAAAACCCTAAACCCTAAACCCTAAATCCTAAACCCTAAATCCTAAACCCTAAACCCTAAACCCTAAACCCTAAACCCTAAACCCTAAATCCTAAACCCCTTTAGCCCGAAGTCCGAAGCCCTCAACGAAGGCTGTGGTCTACCTGGCAACATCTCTCCGTCCGGGGAAAAGTGCCCGAGTTTTCCAGAGGCGGGGCGGGGGTTGGGGCTTAAGGCGTTGGGTTCAGGGTTTAGAGTCAAGGGTTTAGGGTTTAGAAATTAGGGTTTAGGGTTTAGAATTTAGGGTTCGGCGTCGGCTTTCGGGGTTTTGGGCTTTAGGGTTCACGGTTTTGGAGTTAGGCTGAACTTTGAGGAAACCCGAAACCTTAACCCTAAACCCCACTAAACCCTAAAGCGTGGCTCTCTACAGGGACTTTACTGAGAAGACTGTCGGGGCAAGGGCTCGTTTTAGGGTTTAGGTTTTCAGGGCTTTGAGAGTTGGGATTGTGGTTCAGGGCTTGCGGCTTAGTGTTTAAGGTTTATAGGGGCTCCGATCCATTTAGGAAAGCTGACCTGCTGCAGAACAGATGCTGTCGCGCAGGCCCAACATCAAACCTACAACCTATACTAAGCCCTAAACCCTGAACCATAGCTAAACTTGAAGCCCAAACCCTAAACCCAAACCCTAAAACCTAAACCCTAAGATCCTATGAGCACCCCTTACAGGAACCCCCAAAACGAACCCTTTCAGGGCCCCCCCAAAACCCCAAAGCTGTGCAACCGAAACCCGCAACTCCCCAAACCGGACACGAAGGTCTCTTCATGTTAGGGTTTAGGGTTTAGGGTTTAGGGGTTTAGGGGTTTAGGGGTTTAGGGTTTAGGGTTTAGGGCTTAAGGGGCTTACGGGTTAAGGGGTTTAGGGGTTTAGGGTTCAGGGGTTTAGTGGTTTAGGGTTTGGGGTTTAGGGTTTAGGGGTTTAGGGTTTAGGGGTTTGGGGTTTAGGGTTTACGGGTTTAGGGTTTAGGGGAGCCCTTAAATGGTTCCTGCAAGGGTTCCTTTACGGGTTCCCGTAAAGGGTGCTGTAGGGTTTTGGGGTTTAGGGTGTGAGGTTGAGGGCTTATTATGCATTCCTTATGTACGTCCCTAAAATAAGGCAGGTTGTTGGGGTTTAGGTAGGTCTTCGGGCTTAGGATTTCCCCGAGACAGTCAGTTCAGTAGGCCTCCAAACCCTGCAGCCCAAGAAGGTTTAGGGTTTGGTTTTTCAGAAAATGACCCTGTGATGGATCCCGAAATCAGGCGCAGCGAATTTTAATTAAGAGCCCTAAATCCTAAACCCAAGCCCTCTAGATCCTAAGCCCCAAAGAGCCCGAGACCAGGAGTCAAAGGCAGAACTTTGCCAGCACGCCCGATGAGACCTACGAGACTTTCGTCGTCGCTTCTGCTGAGTGATTTGGTGCTTCAGTGTTTGCCTAACCTCAGAAGCCCTGCAATGATAAGGCTCCTTTCTAATTAATGACCTTATAATCGTTCTACTTATATTTAGTAGGGTTTCGGGTTAAGAAACTTTAGTTATCTGATATAGTTACTTACTAGGGTAGATGGTTGACGGTTGAGGGTTTGATAGGATTGACAGAGGAGGATGCTAGTTGAATCTTGTGCTGAAGCATTTGGCGATTGGGGCTGTAAAGGGCTTAAGTGGGCCGTAACTCATGGAATCCCAGTCAGGTTGCTTCTAAGTCTCCTTGTGAAGAGAGGTTCCTGAGACAAGTCGTTAGCCCCAAAACGTTCCCGAAGCCGGCGGCTCCATGGTCTTTCAGGGCTCACGTCCTCCCTAAACCTTTAAACCCTTGACCCTAAACCCTTCAACCCCAAACCCTTAACCCTAAACCCTAAACCCTACACCCTAAACCCTACACCCTAAACCCTAAACCGTTAAACCCTAAACCCTAAACCCTTTAACCCTAAACCCTGAACCCTACACTGCTGGAGTCTCAGAGTGCAGAACCGTTCGGGCTTAGGATCTTTGGGGTTGTAGGCTAGGGTTTAGGGTTTAGGGTTTAGGGTTTAGGATTTAGGGTTTAGGATTTAGGAACCAAATCTTCCAATATGCCCTACTTGAGGAACAGTCTCTAAAGCATGTCAGGGGTCCTATCGGTCTAGGGTTTAGGGTTTACGGTTTAGGGTTTAGGGAACTTAAGGATATGATTATACTTATTGCTCTTACTTCTTATTATCATTATTATACAACACATGTTTTCTGACTTTTTGCCAGTATATTTCGCAAGTAAGGGGACGTTCTATAAAAGCCGTATAGTAGCCCGTGTGAATCCCTTACGGGAACCTTCAAAGGAGCCGTCTTCATAGTAGAAGTAATAGTAGCAGCAATAAAGATGAATTACGTGAAGAGCAGTAGTAACAATGACAGTATTAGTAACAAAGACAATGGTAATAGCATTAACAACATTCATCATCATAGCAATAACAAGTAACGAATATCATAAGAACTATATATATATATACAAGCTGTATATACATATATATATATATATACATATATATATATGTATATATACATACATATATATATATATATATATATTCTACATATATAAGTGATGATTCATATTCGTCTTTTGGGTTTTGGGCGTTGCCTTCTGCGCATCCCACGGCTGCAGCTGAGGAGAAGGCGAAGCACCTCGTGGAGATGTCACGCTCGCAGACGCTGAATCTCGGCCCCGGAGTTTTGGGTTGAGGGTGTAGAGGTTTAGGGGTTTAGGGTTTAGGGTTTAGGGTTTAGGGTTTAGGGTTTAGGGGTTCAGAGGCTTAAAAGTTTAGAGTTTACGAGTTTAATTAGGGTTTTAGGGTTCAGGGGTTCAGGGTTTAGGGTTTAGGGTTTAGAGGCCCAGAAGACTTAGTAAGTCGGTTATAAGCAGGGTTATAATTGGGGTAACTCCACTTAGGGTACTTATAACTCTACTTATAACCTACTTACTAAGTCCCCTGGGCCTCCAAGTGGGTTGAGGGTGTTCAGAGGTTTAAAAGTTTAGAGTTTACGAGTTTAGTTCACCCTAAACCCTGAAACCTTAAACCCTAAATCCTTATTAGGGTTTAGGGGTTTTGGGTTTGGGGGCTATAGGGTTTAAGATAAACCTTAAACTCCAAACCCAAAGCCCTGCGGCCTCAATCTGAATACCGAAAGCTTTCCAATTGAGCGCTGAGCCTTGTATATATATATATATATATATACACATACACACATTACAGACCATTACAGATATATACATAATATATGTACATACATGTATATATATATATATATATACATACACACATGTATATGTGTATTTGTATTACGCCTACCAGTACTTGCCAGAACCACTAACCTGTAAAGGCATCCTCGGCTGCGACGTCTACAGGAAGCCTCAAAAACTCTAAACCCTAAGCCCTACACCTATACCCTAAACCCCCAGGTACGCCTCAATCTTGGGTTCGGCTTTTGTGAGCGTGGCCAGCGCCAGTGCCCTCAGCTTCTCCGAGACAGTGGGGCCCAACCTCATGTGCCCCGGCTGTTTAGGCTTTACGGTTTAGGGTACGGGGTGCACCCTAAACCCTGAACCCTGAACCCTAAGCGCT